GGAAGGCATGAGTTTGTCATGGAGAGGAAGACATGAATTTGTCATGGAGGTGAGTTCCTCATGGAGGGGAAGGCATGGCAATAGATGCTCTTCCACCTCTATAGTAGTGGGCTTATTACTGGGTGTTTTCACCTCCTCAGATCTTTGTGGAAGAGGACACAGGAAGCAGACAGGAAGTGGGACTGGGATAAAAAAAAATGTCCCCAAAGTCTCACAGCAAGCAGAGCTGTTGTCAGGAGACCAGGTGTTCAAACACATGAGCTGATGATGGGGGCTCATGATCAAATCACAACATGCTTCTACCTACCTGTCTCTGGGGTTAAAACTCCTACAAGGGAAAGAAAAGCTTTATTGTTCTAAGCAGTTTTCAGTTGTTGACCCACATAAACTGGAGCTTGCAGATTCACAAAACCTGGGCACCCCCTTTGGCCCTTGGCAACAGCTTGTGATTCTAAGCTCACAGGCTTCCAGTGCCTTGATTTCACAAATCACAGCCCCTGGTTTTAGGAAACACCATCACTTCAATGCTCTGATGTTATTTGCAAGCCTGACCAAGGTTGAAGCTAACTGTCTTCCTCCTATGCTTGAGTGTGTGTGTGTGTGTGTGTGTGTGTGTGTGTGTGTGAGAGTGATGTACCTATGTGTATATGTTGTACATGTTTGTATGGGTGTGTTCATGTGCATGTGTGTGGAAGCCAGAAGTCAATGTTGAGTGTCTTCCTCAGTCTCTGCTTCCACTGTAATTTCTGAGACATCTCTCACTGATTGTGGAGCTCACCAATTTATCTAGAGTGCTTGGTCAGAGAGCTTCAGGGATCCTACTGTCTTTGCCTCCCCAGCACTGGGATTCCTGGGTCCCCACTCCCAGGCCTGGATTTGTGTAGACACAGGAATCTGAATTGAAGTTTTCTGCTTGTGGGAAAAACACCTCACTGACTGATGCATCTTCCCAGCCTCTTACGTGATTCTAGAGGCAACTTCATTGCCTTTCTATTCGATCCTCTACTGTTAAATAGTTTATTTCTAAATCTTTGCTATCTTATTTCCTCATCCTACAGATAGGCTTTGTCTTGGCTAGCCACTCTGAGCTTCTTCTGAAGCTGGTTTCTAACTTTCTTCAGTAATGTCTTTATTAGATAGCAATTCTAAGTCCACGCTATCCTTCTCTGGGCAGGACAGGGCTGTGTGTTTTCTTTTTATTTCTTTCTTTTTTGAATCTTGTATTCTTCTCATATCTTTATCTGGCCCCAGGCTAGTGTGAAGCAAATGCTAAAGACTGAGTTGTTTTGTGAGTTTAAGAACAGAATGAGGCCAAGTGGTTGCCACATGGCAGTCAGTGGGGAGAGAGGACAAAGAGGAGGAAGGCAGGGGCCAGACTATATCTTACCTTCTAGCCACTGGCTAGTTTTCATCTGAACCCACTGGGAAGCCACTGGAGGGGTTTACATATATGTGTAGTAACTAAATCACACCTCCAGATATTTCTCTGGCTAATTCTATGTGCAGAATGGATTGCAAGAAAGCCAGTGGAAAGTGACGATCTGGGAAACTGATGAGACAGATGCCTGGGCCTAGATAACATGAAAGGTGTCATGGGGCTGTGACAGGAATCTGGAGGGTTGGCCATAGTGCTTGTGACCCAGTTGTTGGAAGGAGCCCTGCCACTGGCTAAGGAGAGGAGCGTTCACATTCACCAGTTCTTGTCATTGGTTTGTGTAGATCTTTCCCTGGAAACCAGAGTGAAGCTTGCCATTGCCCTGCATTTTAAGGGAAGTGTAAGCATCGTTCACACCTGTTCTGCATAGTTCTATTCTTTACATATGTTTTCCATGACTGCCCACTTGGGGAAGGCTGTGGAAGTAGATAGTTGAGATCTGTAGGACCAGAAAATAGATAGCAAGGATTTAGAAATAAACTCTATGACAGTGTAGAGGATCAAATAGAAAGGTCAACAATAATTCCTGTCTTCCCATGACCAGCTTGGTGTGGACAGGCATCAAAAACTACCCTGTCCTCACACAGATAGGTATTTGCTGTCGTTGCTAGGATGGCAGTGGTTGCTAGGATTCTTGGAGTTACTAGGTATTTGTAGTATTGCCAGGGATGCTCTCATAACCTCATAATCCCAGCCTGCCTCTCTGTTCCCCGCTACCACTACCATAATTGTGTTTCCTTTGTAGAAATGCTGAGTCATAAACATGCCAGTAGCCTCATAGATTACTCGTCTGTTCATTTAACTATAGTCTTCTAAATCATATTTTTCTGTTTCTTATGCTTTCAGAATTTTCGACTTTAAAGCACAAGGGAAATAGAATAATGAGGTAGTGTTTACCCCAGACAGGAGGTCCCTCACTAGGGACCCACTAGTGGCCTGGGCATGTGAAAACTGTTCTATCAGACTTTCTGAAGTGATGTAGAACTTCGGCTCTGTCAGCCGCTCAATGCCTGTGGGATCCCCAAGTCACCATGGCAGCCCAAATATCTAATATGCTAAAATATGAATTAATTTCTTTGATTTCTTATAAAACCAGTGTACAGTATTGGCCCATTGAAAAGTACCTCAGATTAACTCTACTTATAACTTCAGATTGCTAGGCCTATAAAAATATGTGCATAGGGATATTTATGTATCTTTATACGACTACAGTTCTTAAAAGATAATGATATTAATACATATAGATTAAAATGGGATCATTGGGAGTGGGAGAGAGACAAGAGGATAATGGAGTGAATATGATCAACAGACATGAAAATGTAATGAAATCTGTTATGTATAATTGATGTATACTAATAAAAAGGTAGTTTTTTTTTTTTTTTTTTTTTTTTTTTTTTTTTTTTAAGACAGGGTTTCTCTGTGTAGCCCTAACGGTTCTGGCACTTGCTCTGTAGACCAGGCTGGCCTCAAACTCACAGAGATCTGCCTGCCTCTGCCTCCAAAATGCTGGGATTAAAGACATGTACCACCACCACCTGGCTATTAAAAAAGTTTTTTAAATGTTTAATTAAGTTTATAAATAAAACTTGACATTAATGAGAGAGGACATCAAAGTTAATCTTTTAAAGAATCCCCTTTTGTAAAGGACACATATTGAAAAATTTACAGGAGAAATGAAATTTGTTTTAAGATACCTTTATGGGGAACTCTGAGGAGACCAGATGACATCATGAAAAATGTTAATAGCTTGAAGCTAGGTGACAAGTGTAAAGCATTATATCTTAGTCTCCCCATGTTTAGGAATGTTTGAAATTTCAGATTATTCAAAGCAATGGTCATTACAATTTTCGTCTATCATCTCTCTTCCCTCTTTTTTTTTTTTTTTTTTTAAAATGAGGCTGCTACTATGTTGCCCAGGCTGGCCTAGAATTTGAGATCCTCCTGCCTCAGCTTCTCAAGTCTGAGATTCCAGGCAGGCACTACCATGTTCTGTTTTCCGTCTAGGCTGCTTGGTGACTTAGAAAGAGCTGTTCAAGGGCTTGGGCCCCAGGAGTGTGAAGCCCAGATGACTGTGCAAATGGTTTAATCTTTCTAGTCCTCGATTTCCTTATTTGTAAAAGGGAAGGGATGGAACGGGAGAGTGGAGTGCATGTATGATAGACTAGTGTTGCCCTCAGGGTTGCAATGAAGAGGGATTAGCTCAGATCAAACAAAACAAAGCACTGCCCTGTGTAAACACGTATTGTTTTTAGCCCAGCGGTCACAGCAGTCCCCTTGACAGCAATGCTGTCTCCCACACTGAATCTAGAGATTTCACTGGAAGCTACATTCTTGCTGTGATGTCATACTGAAAGATTCCTTCTAGAATTCTGAAGTAGCCTCTTGTCTTGGTGCTAGCCTTTTAGCTCACAGGCTGGCCTCTCACTCCCACCAGTGAGGAAGAGTACTGCTTGGAGAGGCTGAAATGGTTGCCTCCAGTCATTGGGATTCACACCAGCTGGGCAGGTAATCGGAGCTCAGAGAGATCACCTGTTACTCACACCATTGACTGAGTTTTTCAAGTCTCAGCTGTGTGTGCTGACAATGGCCTTTCAGAACTAATAATCCAGAAAGGCAAGTATTCATGTAGTCCAAGATGCCATGGAAACATACAAAATACTACTGTATAATTATAACTGTACAGAAAATACATCTGATTAAAATTTATATTGGGAATTTTCTCTAGACCATCCATCACTCAAATGTCACAATGAAGAGCATCCTTTTTTGCTTTTATTTTATACCTTTCATTTTCCATACTTTTCCTGAAGCATCACCCACTCTAAGATGAGGAACATTTTATAGTGTGCTGTTTTCTTTAAACTTGCCTCTCTGGAGGGCTTTGTTTTCAAAGTGAATTAAAAATCTGGGATTTATTTAAAGCCTTTGGGCTGCCCAAGGTGTTCTAGGAGATTTACAGCCTGATTTTCCCACCGCTTGCCTGGGATTATGTTACTAACCCACAAGATCACCTGGGGGCTGGCTTCAGGGAGAAGGGATAGCTGGATTTATGACTCAAATAAGTATTAAGAATAATATATTAATGTGATTAGTGTTGTGTGTGCCACAATCTCTTAGTCTGCAAAATGCGAGCACAGGGCACAAAATTAATACAGGCGGCTTTTTTTTTTTTAGTTCTAAATATTATCCATTAAAGTATTTAATACCTCTTACATAGTGTGGCATAGCGGTGATTCAGGGAAGGTAGCCTTCATCTCAATCCCTGGGTACTTCATATTAGAGGGACACTGTCCTAGGGATAGTGGAATTTAGCCTGAGCTTCTGAAGCTTCCAATGATATAGGGCTCAGAGCTAATATGGGAGAAAATTTGCAAAGTGAGTGAGTTTTGAACTGCAGTTCTAACATTATGGTAGTTTCTGGTTATAAAACTACACGGGATGTCTGAGACACTTATGGAAGGCTGCTGCCTCCCATGGGGATTCTGGTTGAGTTCCTCAATTTGGGGGTGGCTCTGGTGGTTTTGGAATACCAGGTCTTGACAACAGGCATCTTCTTTATTTGCAGGTTATACTGGAGAACTTTGCCAGTCCAAGATTGATTACTGCGTCCTAGATCCTTGCAGGAATGGGGCCACATGTGTGTCCAGCCTCAGTGGGTTCACTTGCCAGTGTCTAGAAGGTAAGATGACATTTACACAGAACAAATATGACCCCCTCAGTTTATTCTTTTACTTATTGAGAAATGATCTTATGTAGCCCAGGATAGCCTAGAACTTGCTATGTAGCTGAAGATGACTTTAAATTCTGGGTCTTTCTTCCTCTACCTCTTGAGTGATGAGAGTATTATAGGTGTGCATTGCATATCCAACACGGTTCCCTTTACCATTATTTTTGAATAATTGTTATAACCTAGAAATTTTGGTGATTAGTGATATACTTACATATATTACCAAAATTTGGTGTATGCGTGCACACACACACACACACACACACACACACACACACACACACACACCCCACACACACAGACATACGCATATTACACATGTATAAAATGAATTAGCATAATAAAATAGAGCCTAATAGTGAAACTCCACTCAGTATTTCTATTTTGCTTGACTTGGTTTAGTCCCCATACAAATTCACATTAAAACATCGAATGTAAAGTTTGCCTTCTGTGCTTTGCAGCAGCAACTCTTTGATGTCTTAGAAAAATTCAGCCACCTGCAGAGGCCTATCTTTAGGGTTGTTTTTATTTTAAAAGACAGGTTTACTGTTAGGAAAGAAGCAGGCAGATGATGGAAGGTAGAGCCTGACATTTGGAATGGCTTTGTTCCCATTTCTGCTTTGAGGGGATTACTTTAGATCCTTAATGTTGTAAGAACAATGCTGTAGTAGAGTGTCTCCCCCCCCCCACCCCGTGCTTAAAACTGTCCAGTCAGCTGCTCCTGATTCACAGACACAATACAGGCAAGTTACATAGCTGTTCATACTCTGCAGTGGTTAAACACAGACCCTACACAGAAGGCAACATCTCCATATTTCAAATCACCTTCAGCTGTCCCAGCCCAGCCCTCGTTTAATACCAGGGTTCCTGTGAGCTTCATCTGAGGTCAATCCCTACTCACCTAGGAAGGAGGATGGGCAGGATGGCTTAGTTACTTCAACCCCAATTTTGTGTGTTGGTAATGCATATGGTTGCCATAGTAAGGGGTACCATGTGCTTCATGAGATTGCTTTTTACAACATCCTACCCCCCCTCTTTTGTCTTTTTTTGGCAATTCAGACACACAGGAAAACTTGGAGACATACCAGGGTTGATGGCTGGGCAAGCAGCATCATTGTTTCTTGCCTACAAACACTCTGTAGTTGTTCAAAGCTTTGTCACACTCAGGATGAGTCAGTTGCCACCTCCCTCATTTTAGACTCTTTCCTTCAGTCAAGGTTGGGGTTCAGGGGCGTCACAGATCCACATGGGACTTTTGCAAAAAGAGTTTAGTCAACTAAAGGTGTTATTATTTCTTTGAGATTTACTAGAAAGGTACAACAGAACACCAGAGGCTTAAAGAGGAGAGATTGCACAGCTTGAGCTAGAACCTAGGGACTTGCTTTCACTCATGTCTTTTCCCTTCTTGGCTTGCTATACATCAGGTGCTGTGCTAGATAGTGGATCTTGATGGTTGGAGCACCCCAAAGGGTCCCTCCTGGGTGCAGTGTCCTTTGGTGAAGGCCCGAGGGCCAAGGTGAGGATTTGGGGGATGGTTTGTGAAAAGGGGGTAGCACAAGGCTTCCTGGGCTGCAAGTGAGGCATTCCTCTTCATCCTGCAGTAGAGGGAGGCAGAGGCGCCTAGGGTTCGAGTCCAGCTCTTCCACTTAGCTCTCTATTCCATGGACAATTCACATTGCTTCCTCGGGCCTCTGTATCACATCTACAAGATGATAACGTGCTCTTCACAGCATGCCCTTCCGCTTTTTAATAAAATCTGATGCAGGTAACAGTACACCGCACAGACCTTGGGTATGCTCTCAATAAACACTTGATATTCTTGTCATTGTTCCATAATTAATTGCCATTATACCACTAACAAATTTAAGCCAAGTAATTTGACCGTTTCAGTCTGGGACAGTATCGAACATAACTTGGAGAGAGATGGGGTGGAAGTGTGGAGAAAGGTGTGGGGACAGTCGCAGCAATCCAGGAAGTAGTTGACTTGAATTGAAGAGCAGACTGTGGGAAGAAGCAAGAAGCTGACGTGTGTGAGAGAAGTTCATGGAAAAAAGACAGGGCCTCTTGGGAAGTTTTGACATGGAGGCAAGGGACCGACCGTGAGATAGAAATCCGTGGCTTCCGTCACTTTCAGGTGTGTTCCTTAATGGAGGGTGTGGGTTTTATATGTTGTGGTTGAGAGGGCCTTGGCTCACACCAGATAGATACCACTGAGGAAAAAGTACTGGCTAAGTCTGAACAAAAGCCATTGACCTATAGTAGTCTAAGCCCTGGGTACCAGGTCTGGGATCCTCCTTCATCTCATGGCTCTTTGCAGGCTCCATGCTGTTGACACTGTGGTTCTCAGGCACTGAAAGGATGAGGGTAATTTTCTCAACAATCTTTGTATTCAGAGATCTCTCACTGAAGATTGAAATTGCTTTGGGAAGGCCTGGAAGCATTGGAGCAGGAATGCATAACTGGTAATGAGCGTTTTAAAAAATGGCTCATCTTCTACTGAGAATTTTTAGTGTCCCATACATATTGTACTTTGCTTATATTTGCCTAACTACTACCCTTCCCTATCTCTCTTCCCTTCTTAACTAATTCCAAAATAATTAGTTCCCCTTTGATGCCATCTTCTATCTATCTATCTTCTTTAAGAATTTGGTACAATGTACTTTAAATGTATTTACTCCCCATCTCTTCCCAGATCCAAGGCCATTTCTCCATCTACCCAACTTTATGCTAAAAACAAACCAAAACCAAAACCCCAAGACCTACAAACTTCCCAAACCAAAAATAAATAAATAAATAAATAAATAAATAAATAAGTGCTGCCCAGATGTTCTTAGATGTGTGGCCTTCCACTGGAGAATGGTCAACCCAGGAACTTCACTCTCAGAGAGAAAACTCTCCCTCTCCCAGCAGTTAATAATTACCAATAGCTCTATGGACCGACTCCCCTTTCCATTCTGGATTTTGTCTGGCTTGAATTTGTACCTGTCCTGTTTACAATGTCACAACTGCTAAGAGTTTCTATGTGCAATTGCCCTGATGCGTATTTTCATGACTATTTTAAATCACTATAAACATGAGTAAAGTAAATGCAATTTGTTGGGTTCTAAAGCTTTTTACTTCTCTATTTCTATTTTTAAGCTTAGAAAAAGAAGACCCATTTTTAAAAAAAAAAAAAAATCATGGAATCTGCTCATGGTCTTTTTTCAGTCCAGAATGTTATGGGGCCAGGATTTTCCTGTGGGTGGGGCTTTCATCAATGCCTGCTAGTGTCTCTTACTCTGTCTTCCTTCATCCCTTTCCCTTCAAGCCTCATTTTTCATCTGATCTGGAATAAGCATGCAGGCCGTGAAGCCTTTCCTTGGAACCATCTTAAGCCTTCTTAAAATGCCTTTCCCACAGGTTAGACTCAGGCATTCAGGAGACGGCTGTGTCACCACCAATAAATCTGTCTTTTGATGTGTGTGTGTGTGTTGTGTGTGTGTGTGTGTGTGTGTGTGTATGTGTGAGACAGGACACTAAGATGTTTTTTTCATCACTGAATCATCTTTTTTAAAATGTTATTTTAAAATTATGTGTCTACATGTGAGAAAGAGCAAGTCTGAGTGCAGATGCCCAAGGAGACCAAAAGAGGGCAGCAGAACCCACACAATTGGAATCACAGGCCTTTGTGAGCTGCCAGGTGTGGGTGCTGAGAACCAAACTTGTGTCCTCTGCAGGAGAAGTACAATCTCTTAACTGCTGAACCACCTCTCCGGCATCTGAATTCTGGTTTTCGTTTGGATTTCTACTTACCTTTATGTAGGTTCATATTTAAAAAGTATTTCTCATTCATTGTAATAGGGACTATAAAAAACAAAAGTAAAAATACAAGCATTTGTTTTTGTCTACTTTATTGAGTGGTAGCAATGGCAAAGAAAAGGAAGAAAGCCTGGCGTGTTAGCTTGTGCCTATGCTACTTTTCTTCTGTGTTATTTCGTGTTTGGTTCAGAACTTTGAGATACTTTAATTTGAAACTGGATGAAGTTTAACTCTGAAGGTTTCTGATTATTTATTTATACTCCTTCCCATGAGAGTGTCTCATATTTGGTTCATAACTTTGAGATCTTTAATTTTTTAAGCTATGTGGATTTTAATTCTTGAGGTTTCCGATTATATACGTACCCTATCACTACATACTGACTTTTCAATGTGTGGATATTTTTTAAGAACACTTGTAAATACAGTCCATACAGGTGTCTATCCATCCATCTGTCCATCAGTCCATCTGTTCAACATCTTAACCTCAGCATCCCAGCTTTCCCTGGGAAAACCAAAAGATGCCAGACAGATCAATAAGGAGTGAAAACGCATTCAGCCGTAAGCATTGTGCTCGCTGGTATGACCATTGCTGTGCTGCAGAGCATGCCCAGTAGAATGGAATCCCTTTGTAGCGGCTCTCTGTCACAGGAGGCTTAGAGCAGCCAGAGACGAAAGTGCAAGTGTGTGCTGTTTCCAGAAAGCATCCTCTTACCCAGTGAACCTAAAACATTGGTGTTGTTAAATAGTAAGGTGTTTATGAGCACCGAACGCCTTCTGTATGGAATCATAGGTGTAGGGTGTGTGGGGGCTGCACTGCTGTGTCACCATGAAGGCAAGCACTGCAGTTTGGTGAGGACCCCATTCCCAACCACTGACTAGCAGATGCAGCTCTGGTTTTAAACTTACAGCAGGAGCACCCCAGCCTGGCATGAAAATGGGGTGTTGTTCTCTGGCCCGGAGGGAGGAAACCCAAACCTGGGCTAAATGGTGAGGCTGTGGAGCCAGGTGGTTTTAAGGATGGATTTTAGGGTTACACTGCTTAGATCTGTCTAGACCCCAAAGTCTTTGTTTCTCTGAGGCTCATTTTCCTTATTTCCAAAATGAGGATGCTATTAGCACAGGAGTTGGGAAGAATGCAAGACTCTAACTCTGTG